TGACATCAGAATCCTTTTTCTCAGAATGAGAACCAGATGAATGGTCTACTGAGGGAGCAAGCAAAAAAGGAGTTACTTCAAGCTGTCAACAGAATAATCACCAATCAGATCAATAGTATATCTATGGAACATAAATTTTTATTTTGTCCTAATAATATAATAAAGAAGTGCTGATACAGTAACATGGCAAGGCCACACTAAGAGCAAGAAAATTCACAATGTTGGCTGCCCGCGTGTAAAATTTATCAGAGAAATGAAATAAAAAGGAAAAAGAAAATAAAAAATGAATGGAGAATCTGTATCTATGCTTATGTGTGCACGTGCAGTAGAATTGTAAAGCGAGCAACTTTTGACCAATACAATTAGTGATAAAGACTGAGTAAAATATAGTACTGTTACACTCAGTTAATTCAAGTATCCCAAAATACTCATTTGATTGTCCATAGAAGACTTCACTTCCTAGAACCTTCTCCTGTACAAGGGACTGTTAGCACAAGGCATCCAGCCATCTGGGTTCCAGGCAATAGGCTTGGATTTTAAAAGACTTATCCTCCGATATTGAGCTATGTGTTGCTGAAACACAATGCCTCAACAGAGCTGAAGACAGTGTTTTGGCAGTACCCAATGCCACACTGCTAAGCTCACATGGATCTACAACACATGGGCATGTACGGATAATAGACCCTCACACTATTATGCAAAATATACATAACATGGAAACGATTCCATAAACTTACATCATCAAATGTTTGCAAGTTAAGCCACACGTTTGTTCCACTTATAAGGGATACTTGCCGCTCAGAAGTGTTCCCTCCAAATATGACAAACACCTTACGGATGCCTTGTCGCCCCTCTAAAGCTTCAGGTTGTTGGGATTTTGTTCTTTGAGGCAAATGACCAGATAAATTATTGTATGATGCAAGATTGGGAAATCTCATGCAAGAACGACGAATAATCGTCTGTAAAATATTTGAATGTGAAAATCCAACCTGGAACACAAGAAAAGATGTTTTAACACATATGAAGAATATGAAAACTAAAGGATGCGTGGAAATGTAAACGATTCTCTTGAGACATGCTCACATAAAAGAAAGCAAATCAATTTTATTAATAGAGCTGTGAAAGGAAAAATCTTGCCGCAACGTTATGGATGCAATTTAACCAGCAAAACCAAATTTGACAGATCACTTCAAAGGAAAAATGATAGATCATAGTAAAAGGAGTAGCAACCACCAACAAGAAGCATGCAACTGCGATGCTATGATACATGCAGTAGATTCCATCTATACAATGCAAATATCTAGAAGGTTCTAATGGCAAAAGCAGAGCCCAGGAAGAATCAATATTGACAACTCCAGTGACAAGTTCATGAATCATGACAACTATTCATAAGTACCTTTGAAGCTTGCTGAAAGAGAAAACTAGTCTGCTCCATACCACTAATCTGAAAGAGAATGACAACAAAAAAAAGGAAATCAGATATTAAGAGCATGATTTATTGATAGTACAGTGATTGGAAAAGCCATGAAATTTTTTCTTACTAGGTTAATGTCCGTGAATAGAATTGTACCCAATTCAGTCCTCCCGATTTTGTCCTCTGAAGATGAGAAAACATTTGTGGAGGAAGGTAAAAACCAACCATCAATGCGAGCAAAATCACGTAGGCCAAGTTTTTGGAATAACAATGATGCTCCTTCTCGAATACTTTTAATGATGTTGATAGGAAAACGAGGTGGAGTGTGGTATGCGACCTGGATAATATGTGTAGTCTTCCAGAATTAGAAAGAAGAGTGAAAGCAAAGTAAAATTTGCAAACAATAAAGGAAAGTTAAACAGTACGTGTATTGTGAAAAGCACAGCGAGATGTAACGATGAGTACCTGTTGTGTTGGGAGATACTTCCTCCGGTAATTGAAAATTGCATCCTTCTCCCTTATAGCACCACTGCCATGAAATTGAAGCTCAACCTAGATCATGGGTTCCATTGGATTAGTGCAAAGTCAATCGTTTGTCAAAGTATCTACTTGGATATCTGAAATAAAGTTTGAAGATATTTTTTTCCTTTTCTTCCCTTATTCCGTCATTTCAACAGCATATTGCAGGAGGAATTATAGCAGGTTAACAGTCTTGACCAACTGTATCACCTCAACCATGACTTTGGGTAGAATGAACTAGAAATCAAATGCTTAAAACAGAGTGTTCTTTTACTATATCCGAAGAAAATTAAAACCAATTATGGAACGAGAATGCAATTACCTCGCTTGGCAGAAGAACAACAGGATGACAATCAGATCCAGACCCCACATCAAGGATAATAGCTGTAAATTCACTCCCTCCATCAAGAAATATCTCAATAAGGACCCTCTCATCAATCCCCTATGGAATGTAGAAAGAGCTTGTGAATGAGAAAAAAGGAAAGCAAATGCAGAAAGAGCTTATGATTCATAGTTTACATCAAACAAAAATTCAAAGCATGATCTTCCAGATTTAAGTTGCCAGAAAAGACATGTTACCAGAAAAATTTTATCTAATCAAAATCAAATATATATATATATATATATATAATTTTCCTGAATTTCCTGCCACATTCAGACAGAAACTTCATTCTCATTTTCATTTTCTTGATTCAACTTTTTCTGATGCTTTCCTGATTTCAACTTCAATTAATTAGGAATATTCACTTTTTCAAATGCTAGAGAATGCTACACAAGCCTATAGTATTGAGCTTCAGGAAGCTTTAATACCTCAAGAATAATTTGTTTTGCCTTATTAAGCGAATCAGAAACGCCATAAGCAACTGTGACACCAATGCTGGATCCTGCTCTTGTTGGTTTTACCTGGGAACGAAAAAGGAAGGTTGATATTCTCTAGGCATGAAAAATTTTATAATCATAGGTGGCTACACTAACCCAGGACCAGGGAAGAACCTTACCACAACTTTCCCCGAGCTAAAGTTCAAATGGTTATTTATGAACCACTGTGCTAATTCAGATTCATCCACTTCGCTTCCCTAAATGTAATTTGAATTGTCGGAACAGTAGAACATAAGCAAATATTGAAATCTAAAACCAATAATACCACTCAGTTGATACATACTGATAAATAGTTGAATAAACAAAAAGAAGTATAGTACATCTAAGTTTGTTGAAAAACAACCTGCACTAAGAAGCTAGGGACAGTTACGAAACCATGTTTGTTGAGCTCCAAAGAAGCATTGTACTGCCAATAATTTAAGAAGAAAATGGTTAGTGTACTCCAATAAAAAGTAAGTTTGTCAAGTTGTCGAGTATAAAAATCCAAATGAAGGTTGTCACTTTACACTCCCAACTGATGAATTTAACTTCAATATATGAACAGATTATCTTATATTCCTTCAACAGAGTCAATATGGATAAGACAAACTATCAGTTTGCTAAAAATGACCATTCAGCAATTGCAATCCAGGGCCAGATTATGCATTGTGGTTTATTAAAGGAACAGAAGTATCTAACTTCATGAGAAGATATTTCTATACGTATATACATATATATCTATATATATGATAGTTTCTTTTACCTTGTCAAATGCTTGACGACACTCAGTTGACCCCGTACCAACAAAAGGAATGCTATATTTTTCTAGGAGTTCCTGAACAGTTTATGATATTAGAGACATGATCTGGATTATATAAATTCGAAGTGCTAATAGAAATTTCCAACAATGTGCCTGTGACGAATGCATGAAGATCATTGAAGGAAACACCTGAATGCCACCGTCTTCACCAAATTGACCATGTATGACAGGGAAAACTATGTCCACAGAGGCAGCAAGATGTTCTGCAAATTCAGTCAATGACTGGAAATCTCGAGCAAGGCTGGCAAGAACAGAAATTTTATGTATCTTGAGGGTATTCAACTTCCAGTTCGAACAAAAGAGAAAATACCAAAGTTTAAAGAGCTAACCAGATTACCTCTCCAGTTTAAAATCAAAATCTGCAGGAGTATTCGAGTACAGCTGAAAATCAGAATATAAATGGAATCCTAGATCA